TCCCGCTCGTATTTATCGGAATCACATGATCGCTATGGCGCAGTGCATGCGTTGGGATTTGGGAAAATTCACCACAGCCACAGCCGGACTGCCATGTCATCAAGCTTGCCGTCTTTTCAGCTGTCAACATGCCGGAAGCTCCGACAAACTCCAGACATTTTTGACTTTGGGTCCGAGGCATGATCTGCTACCAGGAATGCCCTTGACGATCGCGCTGTCAAGCTGGTGACGGGATGCAAGGAGGGAACGATGTCGTTTGGTTTGCTGGCAGCTCTGGATTCCAGGCGGCAGAGAAATGGGTGGCGGCCACGGCCTACAGAGTGGAGGCAGGCAGGCTTGTGCGGCGCACTACTCCGTGGTAGCAGTGGCATTGTTTCCCGGTCGAATCTTGATTAATTTATCCATTATATTGATTTTGATTTTTGATTTGAAATAGCGATCACTTATCATCACTATTGTTATCATTTGCAAGCATACAAAGATCTTTTGTTTTTTTGTGTGGCATTGATTAATGTTGGCATTATTCACTCGCTGAGTCACAATGCCGGCCCATGCAATCACGTGTCACGTGATCATATATCCCCCCGATCGGGCAATCTCAGCGGCCGGCCAGTCGCTGCGCCGCCGCGTGAACGCGTTCGCCTCACCTACGATCTGGATCACCTTGTTTCTTCCATCCAAATTCCATCCTCTCCTCCGTCCTTTGAGCATTCTTTCAACCCGGCGCATAATGCGCATGATTCTCTAAGTTTGAATACCATCGAAAGTAGCCGAAACACGTCCTCCTTTGTCCTCCTTTGAGCGCTCCGAACTCTCGAGTCCGAAACCTCCCATCCTCGCCCTTTGTCTCGCTGCGAGATATCTTTAAACGACTCGAGCCCTCCCTGCTCCCTTCCTTTCCTCGAAATCCGTCTGCTTTCTTCGTTTGCAATTGACTCTTTCCCATTGCTCCTTGATCACACCCAGCACCATGACTACCGACTACAGCAAGAAGACCAACGCCGAGCTGGTGGAGATCCTCAAGTCTCGCTCACTTCCGCACACTGGCAAGAAGGCGGAGCTGGTTTCGCGCATCCAGGATGATGATGCGAAAACCACCCAGCCCGCCGAGTCTGCGCCCGCCGCTAAAACCGATGCGGAGGACGTGATCGACTGGGAAGATGACGACGAGCCCGCTGCCGATGCGGCCGCGAAGCCCACCACGGAAGCTGGCGCTGCAACAATCGCTGCTGGCGGCAAGGGCCCTGTAGCAAACCCCGTTGCCGTCCCCAACCAGAAACAGGACGTCGATCCCGCTACGACGGATGATCTGAAGGTTGAATCCGAGGGTATACCCAAGGGTGATGTCTCTGCGCAGGAAGGCACCGAGGCAGAGCCCGCCGACTCATCCGAGACCGCTCAACCTGCGGAGGACAAGCCGGCCGTCGACTACTCTATCGGTCTTGCCACTACGGAATTGGAGGAGGAGCTGAAGAAGCGCAAGGCTCGCGCGGAGAAGTTCGGTATTACGGAGGAGACGCAGGCTGCCGTTGCCGATGCAGAGAAGAAACTCGAGCGGGCTAAGCGCTTCGGTACCGAAGGCGAGGATAAAGAGGGTGCCGGTGTTGAGAAGTTGGATGTAGCGCTCCCCAGCGAGAATCCCCGCAAGAGAGAACGCGCGGAGAACGACCAGGGAGAGCGCGGAGACAGGAAGCGTCATTTTGGTGGCCGGGGCCACATCCGGGGTCGCGGCCATTTTCAAGGCCGTGGAGGCCGCGGTGGACGTGGTCGTGGCGGTCGCGGTCGCGGTGGACGCGGACATGACAACCACCGGGGACATGACAACCACCGGGGACAAAGACCTCACCCGAACAACGCCAGTGGGTCGAGTGAGAAGGACAAAGCTGCCATGGAAGCGAGAAAGAAGCGGTTTGCCACCGAGTAATCTAGTCAAGAGGGTCCCCTATCTCCTGTTGTGTCATTATCATCATTTTGTCTTTTCTTTTTCTAATTGATCTCTTGTCTTGTATCACGAATTATTGGCGTTTTCTGTGTTTTATGGGAAATTCCACTGTTGCATTTGAATAACCATTGTGACCATATCAAAACCCCCGGGTGGGAAGATAGAAATGTACTGTAGTCTGGCTTAGATTTGACGTCTTCTGGAATCAGCGTATGCATCGGCGACCAGGGAAATGCTGGTAAAGAATTGCAACTAAGGCGATCAACAATCTGATCGGACATTTCTGAATCTGGACAAAGAACCGAGTAAGTCACACAGATATGCAGTCATCAATAACTGGCCCTTTTTCTTTTTCTTTTACCAAAAAAGAAAAACTGTACTTGAATGCTTGCAGACAAACCATGGCGTGGTCCGGTATGACGGTGTCACCAGCATGACGGCGGCCTCGTGGAAGGACACGACCAGCTGAAAAACAGTGCATTTGGTTCCTGCAGCAAAGCAGCGCCCGGTCGCGCGAAAATCCCACAGTCTTTGGCGTGCTCGAGGGATTTCCCCGATCGGATCTGATCGACATCCAACAATCACTTGTGGTTGCGGAGATCTGTCTACTTCTACCCCCCTCGCCCTCGGTTCTGCGAGGCCAGTCTGTTCGCGGTTTTACACTAGACGAGGCCGTACCCAATCTGCTCGCGTAGAGCTGACCAACAACTTGGTCTTTGTAGGCCAACCCGTGATTGGCATCTTGTCAGCATCGGCGGAATCGTGTCTAGGCTTGTTCCGAGACTCGCAGCGGCCAGCGGCACAGTGATCGTGTTATGTAGACGAGACGCGCCTGCTGGTGTCGTGCTGGGATTTTTATTTAAAATTATTCCTTTAACCGCCGTTCCCCACTAGGATCATCAGTGACACCGGTATCACCAGTATCACGAAAGGGCCATTGCTTTTTTTCTCTGACGAATCCGGGCCCTGTAGTGACCATCTTGCTTGTGCTAAACCGGGCGGATAGAAAGCCCATGTCGCCCCGCGCCTGGCCGTCAAACTCACCGTGTGCGTCCGTCAATCATCGACTCCTCTGGACCTCGTCGTCCACTTAGCGGCGGATCAAAGACCCACGGCTCAGCGACTCCACATCTCCCGGGCTCAGATTGAATCCATTCCTCGTACGGCGTATGTACTCCGGAGTACTAGGTAGGGGATTGCTCACGGCTCCACCGTCCTAGGTCTCAGCTGTTGTATACCATATCGCCTTGGAGCATGGTGACTGGTTCGTCGGCGGTTGAACCGTTCTCATTTCACAAACCGCCGTCTATTGCGACAAGTGGATCAAGGATTCAATCCGTGGTTCCGCGAGGGAGTCAGTGACAGTGACCGTGACCCCTGAACGTTGCTCAATGTCTGGCTCAATGATGGTTCGGGGCGAACCTTCCAGGTCCTTTTGGCTTTTTACACTGTAGTTTGTAGACGAAGGTGATAGAAGGAGAAGTCGGACTCGCCGGCGAGGATCGGCAGGCGGCAGTCAGTGACCACCACCTGACTTGGGCTGACTGGCGCCCGGCCGTGGAAAATTGTCCGAACTGGCTGGAATCACATCCTCCCCCCAGCTGTGCCCTGCTGCAGGACCTACCCACTAAACACCCATGGTTTGATTGTGATGGTTATTTTTATTCTCATCCTAGCTGTTGCCTGCATCTGCTATCGTCCATGATGCATCTTCCACTTTCCCGATTCCCCCTCGTCTTTCAAGGTCCTGCGCCAGTGGTCGATTCTGCCCACGACGGACTTCCCGCTATCTCACGCCACTGACTGGCATCGTAACCTGTCAATTGCCTCCTCGCCCCAAGCCCCTCCGGAGTATACTGGACCTTGCCAGTCAGGAGCAAACAAACTGTCCCGTCAAAGTGGGTCGCTTTAGCGACTCCATTCCTCTGCTTTTCGCCGCGCACGATCCTGTCACCTTCAATCCAGTCAGGGTCAAGAGTCACGACCCTGGGCGCTCAACGCTAATGGCGACTACTTCGTACCTTGTGCACTTGGCGATCCTGGGTCGTGTTATTTTTGTTGCTATTTGCTTTCTTCCCACGCTTCATGCTATTGATAACGAGCAGGACAAGCGGCTGTTCTTGCGCCAATGATCTTCCCGGTCACATCGGTTCTCACCTGGGGACCCGACGTCGATCGCACAAACCGCGCCAGGATTTCTCGTTACGGTCTCTATATGGACCGTTTAACCTACGAATAGGCACGGCGCTCCCCCACTACACGGGGCCGTCGCAACGGGGTCAGAGTTTTTAGCACTGGTAATCCTCGGCCTTGAAAAAGTCCAGATCTATCCTGGTCAGGTCAATGCTAATGCGTGAACCATTTCCCTCCTCCCCCCCCCTCTCTTCTTTCTATATTCTTCGATTTCTCCCTGCAGCTTGTTTCTGTTTTTCTTTTTCTCTCTTTTTTCTTACATGATCCGGTTTTAGGTTATCTCTGACGTGGTCGTGCAGACCCAGCTTAACACTCTTTTTGGCGTTTTTAGCCACTGTGGACGGTGACCCCATACTGTGGCGGAGCGGGTGCATCTTTTTTATTCATATTATCTTTTTTTTTGGGCTCAAAAATAAGCGACCTCATAATCAATCCATTGCCGTTGACTCTTCACTCTTTTGTTTTTTTCGGCTTTCACTTCGTTCCAGAATTAGAGAAATTGGTTGTCTTCGATAAACTGCTCCGGCTCACGCTGCTTGATTTCCGTTTTTTAAATGCCGTTCCACAATTGAACTAGACATTCCGCCGTTCATACGGACTTTTTCTTGCCTCCTGTCTCTTGTCCCAATCATATGATGGTACCTGCGGCTTCTTGGACATCTTTTGATTCATGCTAATTATGATTTTAAGGTGAGTAAGGTTGCTGCTATACACCATCCCTTTAGCTTGGAGCTCAGCTCATGGACACAGTCGCTTGGAATTTCTCCATTAAGGACGGGATGATTCCAACCCCATATTACTTTTTCAACCTCCGCTGGATTTATAGTCTTCGGACTGGAAATACCGACGGCCGTCAGGTAACACCATGTCGTCGCACAAGCCTGATGGCGGCCGAATACCCCGGCTTAGGGGTGTTGCATCTCAACCACGAAGCGTGTCATCGCCGATGATTACTGTAGCAGCGAAGCCAACGGGCCTTCCTATGCCGCCAAGGCCGCAAATTGATCCCTCAGTCCCTTCTTCTAATAGGACTAGCAGACTACCCTCCTTGACCGTGGCTGAAAAGAGCCAGGGAGCGCGCTCAAATCCTTCCAGAATACCATCTAGTCAGGGTCTTCAATCGTTCTTGCCCCCGAGGGCGACTACGCACCCCCTGCCATCGCCATCGGGACCTTCTGTGTCCCCTGATATAAACGCTAGCCTGGGCTTGCCGCAAAGCTCGTATTCAGTGTCAATCTCTTCGGATAATAGTCTGCAAAATTCCGCTCGCAGTCGGCCACGGAACGTTCTCCGAAGAAAGTATCCCACAATTGGACAACATACGGGAAAAAAGCAACCGGCTACTATGCAAGGCACCAGGCCCGAAAAGCTGAATGTAATAATTCCAGATGATGCTCAGTCCAGCAACGACACCATGGACTCTCCTCGGTTCTTTGACAGCCCGGCGCAGTGGAATCACCTACCTTCACCTCCGTCCGCCGTTCGAGGGAGGAATGTGAGTAATACTCCGGAAAACGTGTCTCACGGCCCTAAAGAGCTTGCTAGCCTTCGAACCACGATAAACACACAAAACCTACCACCACCAACACCAGGGTTTGCCTCCGCAAGCAGTCCCTCGACGAGGTACTCTGGATCTCCCGGAATATGGAGCCGGACTTCCACTCCGACATCTTTGTCCTCGTACTCCCCGGGGATTGTCCAACCGGTTAAATTTGGTTCCCGGTTGAGACAGCCAAGCCCATCTCAAACAAGACTCCCTTCTTTTTCACCTCGGATACAGCAGACCCCGTCACCGAGCAACCCACTGAGTTCCGGAGAATTCAGACCATTGGTCCCGACCCAGGGCGCAGACTCAACCACTACGTTGGTCAAACCTGAACAGAAAAGCCCAGCGACAGAACCTGATGTTGGGAGGGCTCCAACCACCGGCAACGGGATTGTTCAACGCAGGACATCGATTAAATCTAACCTTCCCCGAAAGTCCAACGTGCTAGCTGAATCAGGTCGCAACGCACCCGAACAGAAGCTCACCAAAGTCGAGCCACGTGGACCGTTAAGGAGAGGGGGAGCTGGAGGGCTTTCACTAAACACGACACAGGTGCCGCGGAGACCAAGTAGAGATGGAACCCACCAACTGGAATTGGAACCATCACCTGTGGTCCAAAGCAACTTATCCCCTGAGACAGTGACCGGACATAAAAGACGTGGGTCTGTGGAGAGTTCAATCGCTATCGACAAGTCTCCATTGTCAGTCAATCAATCTGCCGCTACCTCCGTGGATTCATTACATTCTAGGACGTCCTCCCGAATTCCGTCCCGCCTTCCACCATCACCGGAGCTGTCCCGCAAGCTACCTCAGAAAGCAGCAAAAGAATCGACAACACCTCAAAATCCTGTTAGTCCGGGTAGAGCTCGCCGATTCGGACTCTTCTCTAAGAAGTCTAAGCCAGAGCTTGATTCAAAAGCATTGGATGAGTCTCGCCCCATTCGTAAGGGACCAGTTGCTGGAACTGGTCATGAGGGGTACGGCAGATATGGACAGCGTGGACGCAAGACAAGTATCAGCAGCAACAGTGGGGTTCGTGATCGATCGACAAGCACGACCAGAAGCGTGTCCAAATCTGTATCAAGCAGTAAAGGGAGTGACAGAGGCCGATCCGACTTGGGGCTGGATGACTTTTTGCTTGACCGCTTGGAACCCGTGGTCATACCAGGTGGCGGCATTGATGGGACAGCCCTGATACGAACGCAGAGCGAACAGAGTTCAAGTGGCCTCAGCACAACGTCTACGATGAACATGGTGCCGCGCTCTAAACCATCGCGACCTCCTGGTTACTCTACAGATTCTTTAGCTACTTCAACAGGGACTGTGGAAAACGCCCGAGGCAGTTACCGAAGAAATAATTCTCAAGGGGAACTCAACCAGAATCAAGTCCCTCGCGGTGGCTCTTCGAGCTTCTCTAGCACTGGTGGTTCTGGATCGAATGCGGAGCGCAAGGCGTCACTGGCCGATATCACACAAGAAAAGCCGCTGGCAAATACGGTGAAACCATCCTCGTCTGAAATTAAGGTGACGAACAGTCCTAAAAAACAAGAGAAAAAGTCACCGAAGAAGGGTCTAGGCTTGAAGTGGAATTTCTTCCATAGAAGCAACGATAGCACCGCGCACAAGGAACCGGAGCCACTGGCTTCTGTGCCTCAGCTGCAGGCTGCGGTATCGACGGTAAAATCTCACCGACCGGTTGCACACTACGCCTTTGTGGATACGGATTCCGACCCCTTGGAAGATATCATTCACAATATTGAGGACTCGCCTCCGACAGAAGATGACGGGATGAATTCTCCGGTTGAGGTTCCGGCAGCTTTGAAGATCAGGAAGCCGAGCCCATCTATTCTTCTTCCTTCGCCACCGAAACTACATGGTGAATTCGCCAGAAACGGCCCACCCTCGCCAAAAGTTTACTTTACAAGGAACCCGTTTGATCCAATCCCCCAGAAGCCGGTGGAGCCTACGCAAACCAAAGAACAAGTACCGGAAAAACGCACAAGTAGGCTGGCTTCAGTTGGACGCATCCCGCGTGTGGTGTCTAGGAGAGAAAGACAGCATAAACCCGCCTTTCAGTCCTTCTCACGGCCATTCAGTGTGACTGAGTCGCCTTCCCTAACAGCTATAGTGGACAGACCAGCGGAATTCTCACCACCTCGTTCCACACCCGAGTCCCAGAGACGCAACCCTCCGCGTGATCGGCACAATCCTGCATTTGATCTGACACAACCATTTGGGGATCCGACGAAGCAAAGCATTCTCGATTTTATTGCCGGTCCGTATTCGAAACACGAATTTCTCGCATTTTCCCCTGGCAATGACTCGATGATTTCAACTTCCAGCGAATCGGAGAGTCTGGCGGCTGTGACAGCTGTGATACCAAACCCGGGGTCAGAGTTGAATGAGGATGAGGTATGGGGGGAGTATGATGACCTGCTTGACCATGTCCTATCTCCCAAGAGTACGAGGTCCGTTTCTCCTGGTGAACACGAAGTGGAAGGAAAGCTTGAAATGGCAACTATGGCCAGTAGAGCGCTTCAAGCTGAACTGAATGGCCAAGCAGATAAGCGTGTGCGCTCGTCTTTGATCGAGAACCCGGCCTTGGCACTTATTCCGGCATCCCCCCAGTCAAGCAATGGTTCAGTTCACCTTCGGCGGTCCAGGATTGTGTCTGCCTTGCATTCGTCCATTGCCCCGTCTTCGCAGCCTTCATTCAGTGATATTATCAAGGCATACTGCGATGATCAGCCTGAGAGTGAAGCGCCTGACCAGATCGATCAAGCCACCGTTCCACCCGTGGATCAAAATTCTCTCTACCTTAGCTCTCCCTTAAACCCATCTCCGAGCTTCGAGACATGCCGACAACGGAACACCATTTTGTTCGATATAGCCGAGCGAGATCGAGAAGGACCCACGGCGCAGACAAACATTCGATCGGGATCGTTGATGACTAGTCGATGGTTGTCCTTCGGGAGGGTTCTGTTCAGTCCTGCTCACAACCACGTCAAGGATGGAGAAGACGAACGGATCCTGGTTGTGGACGGTCTCGGAAATGATGACTGGTCCTTCTACTGTGCTCTCACGTACCCGAACGCAGATGTGCATTGCCTGACCGATGGACCCGCATCTACTGCCTTCAAGCACCCTGCTGCCTGGCAGCCGCCTTCTAACCATCATACCATCCATCACGCGAGCCTTGAAGACCGATTTCCATTCCCGAAAGGGAGCTTCACAGTGACTGTCTTGCGATTCCCTGCTGCTTGTTCCGAGTTTGCTCAGAATAAAATCGTATCGGAGTGCAAGCGTGTGCTCCGCCCTGGTGGCTATATCGAGATGAGCGTGCTCGATCTAGACATGGTTAACATGGGCATCCGGACGCGAAAGGCCGTACGGCAGCTGAAGGAGAGGACGTATCTCACCGACCCCAACATCAGCCTGAAGCCTGCCAGTGACAGCATTCAACGGATGCTAGGTCAGCATGGGTTTGATAGCCTGCGACGATGTATAGTGCGGATCCCGACCGCGGGAATAATCGTCCGATCATCCGCCTCCTCGTCATCGACAGCCTCATCGAATCCGTCCACAATGGCCACCAATACTACTCCATTCACCGTCTTCTCCGGACCCTCAACTTCATCCGTGAGCGCCCAATCGAAGGCCCATGGAAAGTCCTCCTCCAACGACACTGATCTTTCGCTGGGAGATCTGCTGTCGGACCCGTCCCCTTCTCCTTCCAACGACGAATCCATCCGCAAGATCGTGGCCAAGGTCGGTCGCTGGTGGTACACTCGATGCTACGAAATCCCTGTTCTCCCGAACGGCGACGCCGATCTCAGCATCTGGGCCAACCGAAAAGTTGTCCGCGAATGTCAGAGGCGAGGCACCGGATTCCGGCTGTTAATCGCCTACGCTCAAAAACCGAGCGAGAAACGAAGAACCGCAAGTGTTTGATTTGATTGACTTGTTCTTGCTAGAGAAGACTACGAAACGTCTCATGATGACAATGATGATTTATGAACGATTTTGTTTTGATTTACCCGCCAAACCAATACGCTAATAATGACCGATCATCAGACAAAAGAACAGACTGGTTATGATATGATATTTGTCTTTGCATTTTGAAGCATACATCGGCGCTATATAACTGCTGCTTTATCTACATTGGTTCTTTCTGTTGATTTCGCTATGCGTTTTCACTTCTTTCTGTACACCATGAAGCCGGACTTTTGGGTGGATTTTTGATTTTGATTTTGATTTTGATTTCTTTATTCTATTGCATATGTTCAACAAGATGATACCATACCATATATGTCATGACAGATTCTATAATAATGCACAAGAGCGTTTCTCTCCCTCCACTCTCCATCTGATCTCCCAAATTATGAACTATAAGAACACAAATGCAGCAACCGAACCCAATACCCCCTGTAAAGCAGTACCGATCTCATCACGGCCATTCTATCTACTCGCGACCAGACAAAGCAATCCCAATGCTAGGGCAAATCCCATTTTGATCCACATTAGGTCACTATTATCAATTACGAACCAATATGGAAGACCAAATCTAGGCAGCTGGATCACAACATCCCTGGTTGTCGTTCGTCAACGACAGCATCAGAGCGTAAGACTACTAACATACTAGGCTCTGGGCGATTTTCTGTGTAGGTCTCTGCGTCTAGGCAGCCGAAGACCTACGAGGGACTGCCTACCACTAGCCTCAGGCATCTGCAGGCACCACCCGCTGCCTAGCCCCCACCTTCCCATATAAACCGTCCCAAAGACAACATTTGGAATAAAACTCAATTCTCTGAGAACAAACAAGCCGCTACAATGGCAACTCAAACCACGCGTTTCGACCTCCCTGGCTATAATCTGCCCTTGGATTGTGATCCGTGCAATAGAAGCCCCCGAAGATTGTTTCCCAACGCGCTTGATGTGGAGGACATCGAAGGCGGATGGGCGGAGTAAGTGTTGATTGCGAATCCCAAGATCATGCAAAGGAGCTGTATTAATCGTGTTCAGTCGGATATATGTGCATCGAGAAATTCTCATGATGCAAGTGATAGATACCATCACGGATAAACCGGATTGGGAACGAAAGGTACAGTACCTACCACCGTCATTCAGAATCTACGTGCCATGGTCCATGGAGCTCACTGGCTTCATTTCGCAGGTTTTCGACGACCAGATCGTTGCAAAATGGCGAGACGAGATTGTTGCCAGTGGTCAAGACATTACCTCTAAAATGATGGATTGGATCTTCGCGGAACTCCGGTGGAAGGCTGATCTTTACCGCGAAAAGGGCCATGTCGTAGCCTATGACACGGGGGTGGTGAAATCCGACTCGGCCATCTCCCTGCGCCTGAACAGGGCCTTGCGGGATGCAGTTCGTCCCTTGGAGGAGATCCCCGAGGAGAAGAAAGACTACCACCCCGGTTCGGACAACAAGGTCGTCGATCTGGTCCATCCGTCCTTATCCCCTGTGATCTACGGCCGTAGTCACATCCTGCCTGATCGGCTTATTGGTGTCGACGACTGTCTGAACAGTATTGGACAGGGTCAGCAGCTTGCAGTGCCTGAAAAGGTAAAGGATCAACCACGCGACAATGATTTTCGGGCCTATTATCCCCTGCAATGGAGTTCTCAAGTGGTTGAGCCGTATAGTCGGAAGTTTCAATGGATGCCCTGTGATGTGGAGTTCACTGAGGAGCAAGGATGTCGCATTGTCTCATACATCAACAATCTGCATCCTCAGAAGCATCGTCCCCTCTATGGAGTCATCGAGAAGATCCTCGAGAAAGTGATCCCTCTGTGGGATGCTACATTGACCAACGTGGAATATGAAGGAAAGCACCGGATACCGTATGAGGTAGTTGATCACCTCGAGCATCCAGATCCAGAGCCCCAGGAGCCTGAGGATGAAGACGACAACGAGGCGTGGGACGAATATTATGAGCGGCACGGCGAATGGGAAGATTCAACCCCGATCAAGCTTCCTGAGCCGGGCACGTTCAAACCTCGTCAGCCTGATCCGAAACGTACAATTGATCTGCGGAGGGAGTTTGCTGAGCACGGATTGCAAGTGATCGTCAAGTTGGCGAATATCGAGCTCACGCCCGAGAATCCCGACTATGATGGAGGATCCTGGCACGTCGAGGGACAATCAGTAAGTGAAAAAACCCCTCTCCCCCTCGTTCTTTCCCATCAAGTCCACCAAAATCACTAACAGCAAACAGAATGAGCACATCTGCGCAACCGCGCTATACTACTACGACAGCGACAACATCACCGAGAACCATCTATCATTCCGCCAGCGGGCAGGACGAGACAACGTCCAAGACGTCATCTACCCCCAGAACCAGCACAGTTTTATTTACGAGGTGTTCGGTTTTCCACGCGAAAACAATAACGACGATGATGCCGACGTCACCCAGCCCCTAGGCAGCGTGTCGACACGCGAGGGCCGTCTTCTGACATTCCCTAATATCCTGCAGCATCGTGTATCGCCATTCTCGCTGGCCGATAAGTCCAAACCAGGCCATCGCAAGATCCTGGCCTTTTTCCTGGTGGACCCGCATATTCGCATTATCTCTTCGGCGAATATTCCGCCGCAGAACGAGGAGTGGTGGGGGAAGATGCATGAGGTGATGGATAAGTTGCTGGGAAGTCGGTTGCCGGCTGAGTTGCGGGAAATGGTCAATGAAAATATTAACAGTGATCCGATCAGTATAGATGAGGCGAAGAAATATCGACTTGAATTGATGAAGGAGAGGAGCTCTGTGACAAGGGTGCAAAATGACCGGTTTGAGAGTGGAAGTTTTAACTTGTGTGAGCACTGAGGGGGGAATGGACTTACTGCATAATTCAGAAATCCTGTTTAGATTTAATATCGTTTAAGAAAGCTATATCAGAATGTCGTCTGGTTGCTGGAACATATTAAAAAGAGGAAGGTAAAGTGCGAGCATCAACCTCAGGCCAACAATTGCTCGTTTCAATTGCAGACCACCACTGCCCGAAATCTACACACTTTTACGAAACTTGGCCAAAGACACCAGAATATTTCAGAAATAATCAATTAGATATCCCGCTAGTCATAAACATAAAAAAGGAAATCCTATGATACAAGCTCACGATATCATCATCATAATAAGCCCAAGAATCAAAAAACGCTTCCCATCAATCATAAATTAGGCACAATAGTACCGAATCGACAATTTAATTCAGGGGTATCCATAACCATTTCCAATCAAACTGATTCGACGAATCTAGAAACGCTGAGCTCCGAGAGATCCGCGGTTATCAAGGTCAGAATCCACGCGAGGATCGGCCTTGTTCATGATGTTGGAGTCATGGGGACCAGCGGTGGTAGAACCGCCGTAGCCAGCAGAGCCGGTAGTGCCATAGCCAGTAGGGGCGTTGTAGCTGCTGGTAGCCGTGGCTTCGGTGGGGCGAGAGCCGTAGTCGCCAGTAGAGGTGGAACCGGAGTGGCCGTACGAGCCGGGGCCGGTGGTGGTGCCAGTGGTGCTGGAGCCCAGGCCACCGGAGGTAGTGGCACCAGCGCCGGAGTAAGAGTCGTAGCCGCCGGTGTTGCTGCCCAGACCACTGGTGCCAGTGCTGGTGCCGGAGTGGGAGCCATAGCCGCTAGAGGTGTTGTAGTTGCTCGAGCCGAGGGTCTCGTTGCGGGCGCGGTTGTCGCGGTCAGAGTCAACGCGAGGGTCAGCCTTGTTCAGAAGGTCCGAGTTGTGAGGACCGGCAGTGGAGGAGCCACCGTAGCCACCAGCGGTGTTGTAGTTGCTCGAGCGGAGGGCCTCGTGGCGGGCGCGGTTGTCGCGGTCAGAGTCAACGCGGGGGTCGGCCTTGTTCATGAGGTTGGAGTCATGGGGACCGGCGTTGCTGGAGCGAGAGCCGTAGTCGCCAGCAGAGGTGGAGCCGGAGTGGCCGTACGAGCCAGGGCCGGTGGTAGTACCAGTGGTGCTGGAGCCCAAGCCGCCGGTAGTAGTGGCGTCAGTGCCAGAGTAAGAACCGTAGCCACCGGTGTTGCTGCCCCGGCCGGTAGTGTCAGCACCGTAGCCAGTGGTGGTGCCGGACTGGGAGCCATAGCCGCCAGTGGTGCCAGAGGTGCCGGTAGCACCAGTAGGGCCGCCATAAGAGCCGGAGTGAGAGCCCTGGGTATCGTAGGAACCAGCGCCGGAGCCGTAGGTGCCAGAAGCAGCAGACTGGGACTCGCGGGCTTCTGTTGGTCGATTAGTTTTGAGTGCATTGGATAGGAATGTCATGGGATTGACGAACCACGCTCGCTGTTGACGCGAGGGTCAAGCTTGTTCATGAGCTTGGAGTCGTGAGGGCCATTGTCGGCACCCTTGGAGCTGGGGGAAGAGGAGGTAGAGGTAGGCTGCTGAGTGGATTCCTTGTTGTCATGGTGGCCGGTGACGGCGTCCTTGACCTTGTGAATGATTCCAGACATGATGATTGATTGGGTATGAGTGTGAGAGACGTTAAGGAATGGGTTGTAGAGAAAACTGGCTCGTTAGAATAGAGTTTGTTGAGTTGATGAAGATAGATGGATTGATTATTGTGAAAAAGGATAATCCCCTGAAGAACAAAGTCGAAGGAGACAACTATATACCCAGCATCCTCCCCCAAACCACGGCAAAAGCAGCCATGACGTAGCGTTCCCGCCACCAGCCACATCAGCTGGAGTTTGCCAGTAAACCACCTTGAAAATGTCCGGGGTAAAGCATCAAGCCTGACTACATAACCATGACGTCCACGGCGTCAATTCACCTCTTCTCTCCCCTGAACCAGAGGCCAGCCCGTTTCTACCCCCGAATGGTGTCATACCTCGTCATGGCCCAGACAAGTCCACGCGCGACGCCGGGTGGCTCCACCAATTAGCCCGGGCTGCCAGCGACCCTCACGGAGGATGTCCCCACCGCCAAAGATACTGGACCACTGGATGCCCAGGTAGCAATGTCCCACAGGACGCGAGCTAGCCCAGAGGGAAGTTAAATATAGAACAAGCAAAAGAGTACGGAGTAGGTAACCGCAGGTCGATATTCGTATTCAATGATCGACCTGTGGTAACTTGTATGTGGACTCAGTACGAGAGAACCAAAAGGACATCATCTCATTCCCACTACTGACAAGGACAGTGCAGCAGACATCATGCATCATCATCTTATCTTCTCGAGGGGGGCCCGCCCTTAATATCGATCAAACCCGCTAGTCCCGATAAGGTCATCCACCGCCGATCATGACTTCAGCCTTATGTGGCCTCAGGCCTGCCACTGCCCTCGCTTGGCTGACTTGGCTGGCTTGGCTGGCTTGGCGTCATGCCGTGATGGCGACAATGGACACGGTATTGCGAGATGGGATGGGTTGCTCTTTGAGAGAGAGGATGGATTCTATTGGATTCCTTGTTCTACAGTGTACATGCAGATCATGGGTGAGGCAGGTCATTTTACCATACACCTCGTATGCAAAATATACTTTCACGAGATATGTCTTGCAAGTACCCTGTGATCAAGTCCTACGTACCCTGTAGATCCGCACGTAATCGACCAGAGAATCAGAGTAACCTACAAACCAGTTTCACGTTGATGGCATGGACGATTTCAAGAAAAGCTTGGCTTCCAGGCACCTGCATTTCTCAAACCGGTTCACGAACTGAAGCCGAAGAAACGCCAACGCGTTGTATTAGGGTGACTGGTTACTACTAAAATTAAGAGTGATTAAGCCTTTTCTACAGCGTATGGAGTATACTTTAATCAATAGGACATATCAGTGGCATTATGAGAAACGAAGACAGAAAACCCCCTGGCATTAATCATAATCCCGGGTCCATAGTATCATACACATTAAGTGAGCATAGCAGTAAGAAAGAATCATCAAATCAATAAAGCCACCCATGTGGTATAAGAATAGTCAAAAGTCAGAGTGCGAAGAAGGAATAAAACAAAAATAGAAATGAAATGAAGTCACCAAATGCCGTGATCACTCCACCAGAGCCACCATCAATCGCTGGTAATCCCCACTGGTCTCGCCCCTGACCCGGTCCACCAAAGCCTTCTGGAATTTATGATGATAAGATCGTCGGACCTGATCCAGATGCGCCCGGTTCCAATGCACGCGCACGGCACGCACCACCAGTTTCTCGTCCTTGGTACCCATTCCCTCCATGCAGTCTTCCAGCGCGACCGCATCACGCATGGCTGGGTCCAGCGCGCCCCGCAGAATATGCAGGAGAGCGTCTTTTATGTGGCCGGAGAATTCCTTCTCGACGTGCTTCTCCAAAGGCGTGTTGTAACGCTGGCCGTAGACCTGGTGGATGGCGCGGAGCTCCTCGTTCGACGAGCGAGCGAAGATGCCGCAGACCTCCTCAACGTTGTTGGTCATTCGGGCGGCGGTCGCGGAATGGATAGACTTGGCCTCTTCCTCAATCATGCGCGGGTCAAGAGGCATGGATTCTTCGTGGCGTTGGCAACGGAAGACGGTCTTGAACAGCCCCTGGGTCTGGAAGGAGAGGTCGCTTTCCACGTCTTTCTGTAGAGAGCGATTGTAGGTGCGCTGGTACGCGGACATGATGGCCTGGAGATCGGCGTTCGATCGGCCAAGCAGGATGTCGTTGAGCAACCATTCCTTCGTGCCCATTCCTTCCACTGCATCCCGGGCACAAGCGACGTCGTGAGCCAGGGGACCGTCAATAACAGCCAACAGGCCCTGACGAAAGTATCCGCTTGTTTCGGACTTTACGTCCTTGTAGAGATCGCGACGAATATGCTCGGTGTAGGTCTTGCGGACGGCTGCCATCTGCAGAGGATCCAATTTGCTGATCGTAGCAATCAACGCCTTCTCATCGGTGCCGAATCCTTTCATCGACTTCCGGAGGGCGTCTGCCTGAGGACGGAACTCGCCGGGAGCGACCTGACCGGGCGTGTACCCGAGCGACGGAATAGCGGGCTGGCTGGGGAACTGAGCTTGTTGTGGGAACGACGGAGACGGGTAGGGTTGCTGTCCCTGGGGACCTGACATAGGTGGCGCCCCGTGATGATGACCCTGATGGTGACCCTGAGGGTAGCCTTGAGGCGGACCATGCGGAGGACCGGGAGGGAATCCATGACCGCCCTGATATCCGGGGTAAGGAGGCTGAGGTGGGCCACCGTAAGGAGAGTGACCTTGTGGGGGGAAGTTGGGAGGCTGGCCGAATTGCTGAGGAGGACCGCCGGCATTGGGATACAGAGGGTTTTGAAAGGCGGGGTTTGGGTGGCCCTGCTGAGGGTAGGGTGGGTAGGGAGCTGCTCCTGGTGGTCCTCCAAAGGGTTGTTGTCCCGGATGCATGGGAGGACCCTGAGAAGAGCCACCGTAAGGAGGGTAAGGAGGTTCTAGACACACGAAGAAAAAAAAGTCAGTAACTGAAAACAGTGGGAATTGCGGGGTAGGAGACTGCGAAACATACGGTTAGGAGGATATTGATGCGACATGATGAGATTTATAGACACCAGAGTTGTGGATGATAATGACAATTGAATGTAGGATTGTAGACAAGTCGAGGAGGAAGTGGAAGGACGAGGCAATATTTATCTGGGGAACGAACGCATCGCATCTCTTACCTGTTCGTCATGGTGGCGCAGCAGTGGGGACAAGGCTCATTCGCGCTTTTCTAGAAGGCATCCAGGCATGGCCACACGCCGGTTCGCTGTGGCTGAGCGGTGACAAAAGTCATGCTACGTAAGTGATCTTGCCGTAAGGCCAGATTAAATGCGCGGAGATACACTCCTCACCAATGTATTCCTAGGTATAATTAAAAAAGTGGCGCAGTCCAGGCGGAAGAAGCGGATATCACGAGGTTCCAGGCATCGACGTTTGGTTGCCTGAGATTGGAGAGCATCACGATGAAGACATCCATTCATTCATTAATCATTTCAACATCATACACATACATACATCATGTGGCCCATATGGCTATGCAATGGTGAGCATCAAATATCAACCTGGAAATCAAAGACGGAACAGACAGAAAACACAGACACATCCTCTCGCTTCCTCTCCCTCTAAACAATCTCGCCCACCACAAAAACATGCGCCCCGGGAAACAATCCCGTCGAACCAGCATAGCATCCCCAGTACCAATCGTCATTGATATTCTCCGCCTCGGTAATCTCGGCTCCCCGCGGAAACATCAATTCGTCTTGCATTCCGTCCTCCGGGTACCAAGACCACAGAGCATGAAGGATGACCCCCACACCACCATTTGGGGGGAACCGACGAGTCGAAGGATTCGAGGTGGCAGCGATGGGCGTCGATGGCTCTGAGGCGCTGTGGTAGGATCCGTTCCGATCGCGCTCGAGGTTCGTCCACGGGGTGCGTACGCGCGAGGCCTTTTTGCGTCGCTCGGCGCCTTCCTTCCAGCTCCAATCGCCCGAGGAAGTTTCGCCAGACGGGGTGCCTGCGGCAACGGGCGAGGCCGATGCAGAGGATGAGTGCTGGACATGTTCGTCCTTCAATGCGCGACCGCCAACCAAGTCGCGCACAATCACCCGTTGTTGGCCCTCCTCGCGATCTTCAAACCCGATGACGACCATCCGATGACCCTTCAAACAGCGTCGCCAGCCATTGTGCCCGTTTTCCTTGCGAATCTTCCCGGTCGCCACGAGTTTGAGATAGCAGTTGGCGCAAATGTCGTAGTCGCCGTTATTGCATTGTAAACAATGGAATCGGAGGACCGACGGAGGGATCGGATGGGTGCAGATATCGCAGTTGGTCGAGAAGCTAAGAATCTTGAACGTTTCGCGGTCCCCGGGTGCCGTGGGAGGAGTTGACGAGCCGGTGCGTACTTCGCTGGGAACCGGTGATGGTGTCGGCAGGTCGGAGCGACCGTCAGCGGCCACGCGGCAGATCGGCAACAGTGCATGCGTGCAGCATTTTCCTTGGTTGACACATCGATTGCAGAATCCCCAATCGCCTTCGTTGCAGTCGTTGCACTTCCAAAAGCAGTCATTGGCTGGGGATTGGCAGATCTCGCAGAAAAGCCCGGTCTGCAGTCTCCGCGCTGGGTCGTCGCTGGTGACCTCCCTGCCGTCTCGTGTGCGACGAACGCCGTCCACTGGCCGTTTGTACTTGCAAGATAGCAAGACATGCTGAGACTCAGCCGGTGGTGTAGGCCCGCCATTAGAGATGGCGCAAATTCGTTCGTAGTTTGCTTTAGCAGACGCGCCAAACCCGGCCCAGTCCAGACAGCCACGGCCTAAGCGGTAACATCGTAGACACAGGTAATAACCGCCGTCTTTGCACTGGAGACACTTTTTATGCAGGTCGTACTGGATATTCGCCTTTCCGCAGCGGTCGCATGAAATAGACGGTTCGACATAGGATGCTGCCATCTGTGAGGCAGTGGATCGTGAAGACGACGGCCGAGATCGCGCATCCTGCCTACCGGGGCTGTTCACTTCGGCAGCCAACGAACTTGTCGTCGATGGGTTGGTGATGATAGGCTCTGGACGTCGTGGGCTCGGAATGTTTTGCACGTTCTGTAGAGGCGACGTAGCTGAAGCAGGAATGTCGATCGACTGTCGACCAGGCCGCTGCCGTCGCAGTTCCCTGTCATTCGCCCCAACCACCCATATATTCGGGACGCTTTGCTCGGATGCAGTTGCTCTCCGTGACCGTGGAGCCATAGAATCGGACGCCCTCGCCCGCTCAGAGTATGAATTGCGAGGGCGCTCCGCAACCATATCACCTGACGACCTCGCAGCCGGTCTCAACGAGACTTCTGACGAGGATGCCGGGTTGACAGGGACTGGAGACGTCCTCCGCCGACTGCTTCCCTGGTCCGACAGCCGTCTCTGATGGCCTGACTGGTCCGATCGCGAAACGAGCGGGTCCAACAGATACGGCCTCGACACTGGCGGATTTCTCGGGGATTCACGAGGCGACATCGTTGACGTAGAACTGGACGGGGGAGGCCTTTGCACCGACTGCGATCTCGCACGAGGCCGGGACGAAGCCTGCGACGTTGTATCACCGCCCTCCTGTCTCTGCTGCGATCGCGACCGCAAGCGATGTCTCCGTCGATAAGCGTCGGCAATCCGCTCACTCAGTTCCTCTTCCTGGCGTGGCCCCAAGTTATCCAAATCAATATCCTCGAGCAAGCCCTCCTCCAGAATCTGGCGCAGGATCTCCTCCTCCATTGTCTCAGTATCCGACAAACTTAGCAACGACCGCAAACTACTCTGATGTTCAATCTGCCTCGTCCGGCGCGACGCATCCTCCGGTCGTAGTGCGCGCTGTTGCTGTTGTTGTCTTCTCGCGGCTCTCTCGTCCTCCCTCCGTCGCCTAGACCTCGCATCCTCATCGACACTCTCGGCCCTCCCGGAACGACTCCTCGACTCCCTGCCTGTCCGTCTCGCATCCCTCAAACTCAAGTCCCTCACCTCCTCCAACAACCTGCGGTCATCCTCGTCCTCCCTACCACCAGACGCACTCTCCGCTGCGGCGACCGGAAACACCGAATCCCCGTGCTTGTACTTCTGAGCGATCTCCTCCCTCTCGTCCTCGGGCTTCGCTCGCTCCGGGTTATTAGCGAGGACCATATCCAGTAGCGTAGTGACGGTGGCATTGGGACGGGTTTCGCGCACGACAGCGCGACATGAGGGGCAGGTGAAGCGCGGGGAGGACGATGATCGGCGACGGGCGCCTTGCACGGCGAACCATTCTTTCAGACAGGAGCCGCAGAATGTATGCAGGCAGTCGAGGAGGGTGAGGGGTTGGTATAGAAGGTCTGTGCATATCTAAGGGGGATGGAGTGGGTTAGCATTTGAATGGATAGATGATGGGCGAACCATGGTTCAGGTTGGAGGTAGAGATAGGCAAGTTGATGGGTTGAGATGGAATGATTTGAACTCGAGGCCACGCCGATCGGGTCTGTCTTCTCTGTCGCAACTCAGATGAGTCAAGAGAAATACATAGTTATCGTAAGAGAGCCACCGCAGACAAGCGACAAACGACCAAATCGACAGCGACACAGAAGAGAAAAGAACCGGACGAACGGTGAGCGGTTCCTGGATTTCCCACCCCACGTCTGCTCCCTAATCCCGAGTCCCGACCCGACAGGAACAGGAATTAATTTCGAAAAAGAAAAGATGCACCTACCGAGCAAGTGAGTTCTTTCTCAAGGTCCCCCAGTCCGGGACCACTGCGTGGTTCGGTCTCCATGAAGAAGAGCAGCCAAGAGCTGAGGGGAAAATGGGGGAAAGAAAGAAAGTCTGGAAGGCAAGTCGAGTGGGCGAGGAAAGGCTGCGGATCGATCTCGGCTGCTTCTAGTGCTTTGGGCTCCACCGGCTGGTATGGATCTCCGCATAGGGCTGTGGGTATTAATATTCTGTCGATATTACTATAGCCTATAGGAAATAGTAGAGGGAGCGACCAGATGGAGTAAAATGACCGGTCATGATCTGGAATACTGAGACGAACGATGGATCGGAGGAATAAAGAACAGACAAAACCAGGTTTTGACAGGCACAAAAAGACTCCCGCTTAGAAAGAGGCCACAAGATTCCGATGAAACACGACAGTCCAACTGCCTACTCTTTGCCGAATTTCTCCTTCTCCCAAAACCAGTGGTACAGGCTCCTCCACTCGGCAGCCTCGTCTTCCACATAGTCGCCTACCATCTCCGCCGTCTCGTTGGAATCCGACCAGAAATCTACACCGCTAGGTCCGCTGGTCGAGGTCATCTCGACCGCCACGTTGCCCGTATGACTGCCCAGGATCCCTCCGGCGTCCTGTCGCGCCTTGTCAGCGAGATCTCGGGCGCCATCTCGGGCTGCATCCGCCCACTCCTCGGCCTGTTCGCGCGCGCGTTCGATGAGTTCGTCAGGCGTCGGGTATCTCCTCAGGACCACGAGAAGGAGATAGTAGCTCTGGACGATAGCAGAATAAACAGCATCTTTCGCTAGCATAGTGAAACCGTGGGAGAAGAATCCCTTTACTACCTCTCCAGACAAGCCGGCGTAGAGCGCCGAGATCCCGTCCGTTCGCGCGATCGCGATCACGTTCGAGATAATTGCCGGCGTCAAGAAAATTCCCTCGTCGGCATCATCCTTCTCGCCGCTGTCTGCACTCTTCGCAGGAGTCGACAGATTGGAGCCCGTCACCTGGGCTCGCGTCTTGGCCATAGAGAACGGGTAGGTGACCGTCGACGCGGCCGATTTGCTGATCGCAGCCAACAGGAACGTAATAATGGCCGACGAGGAACGACCACCTCGCTGGGCCCGACGAAGAAACCCGTACTTGAGCACTTCATTCAAGAAGAAAGTAATCGAGGGATTCAGGGTCAGAATCAGCGACGCCGAATATCCCGACCAGAACCCCCTGAGCCCCTTCTCCGCCTTGATCTTCGCCGCAATATCCCTGGTGCGCATCGAGGCCTGCGACGTCTGCTTCCGGGCCACAATGTTCGCCAACGGCGTCGTGAACAGTTTGGCGAACGCGCCCGCCAACACGCCCACCGCTAACTCGTCCAGCACGGGAAGCACCGTATGCTTTGTCCGCCTATTCGCACCAAACCGCGCATTGATCCTCCGTTGCCGGAAGAACCCATACGCCAAGAAGAAGAGGAACGAGTCCGCAACAGTCTTCACCGTATCCTGCGCCAAACCGGTGTAGAAACTCCCCAGACCCTCCCGAGCGTAGATCTTGCGAGCGGCATCGACGAAATCGGTATATTCTTCCGTGTCTTCTTCGGTGTCGTCCTCGCTCTCAGATTTCCTCTTCCCCTTCTCCTTCTTCCGTTGACTCTGCGTCTGCAATCGCGCGATGATCAGACTGAGCGGGTAGGTGGCGAGGTTGGAGACTGCTGCCCCGACGGCACCGGCAACGGCGTTCCCCAGCGCGGGGAGAGCGGGGCCCCGGAGGGCAGCGGTTTTCCAATCTTCTCTAGGAGGAGTTTCTTCGTAGCGGTGGTAGAGTTGATACGTATCCTAAGATACCAAAGTCAGTGTGTTGATTATGACAAGAGGCAAGAGATGCAAGATAAATCACCCTGTCATTCGACAACACCACGCGAAGAGAAAGAAGCCATACCAGCTCGGGATTGTACGAGATCTTGTATTCGGACATTTTGCCCATGCACAGTGCGAGGTCAGACAATCGTTTGAATCAATCGTTTGAGTCGATGAGTTACTTCGCGGCTTGAAAAGCTTCCAAACAGTCAAATATGCACAATAGCGACCGGGAACAACTGTTGTGTTGGATAGTGGTTACCCCTTCACATCGAGGGTGTTAAGTATTCGAACACGCCGAGTCATACGGTGGAAGTATCAGTCACAATGGAACGATCCCTTAGAGATGAAAATACTAGAGGAAAGCAACGCACAGGAAGGTGCCGGCGGATTAAAACCATGCCATCGCAGCGACCGAGGTTAATCGCCCTCCTTCGGGGGAGCAGATGATAACGTCATGCTAACGTGTGGCCCGTGCACGCAATGGGCGGCATGTGATTTGTCCCTCCTTCCTCTTCCAATCTGTCGTCTGCTTACAAACCTAGATATCCATGGATGCACAACTACGAGCCTACATCAAACAGCAAATGCAAGTTTCGAATCCGCTTGGATTTGTAGTCCTAACCTAGTAGCTAGACAGGCACATGGTGTCTACAGACAGTAGAAACAATCCAGCCATTTCTTCGTATCCGAACCCATAACCCAGTAGACGTAGATAAGATATCATTCAAGAATAAACCAACCCAACCATTCCGAACCCCGTTCCCAGTTTGTTGTGAATAAAAGAAAAAGAGCAAATCCCAGTACGTTTGTTTCGAAGCAAAAAGAAAACACCGCAACCATGACCGTTTATCCGATCCGGCCGTTCATCCGTCCACCCATTCATCATGCCAACCGAGCTGACCCGGCAGCATTCACCAGTTGAGGCATTGTCAAGACACGATGAAGATGTCGAATCGAAGATGAAAGTAAGACAGCCAGTACAGAGTTGCAAGGCCGATGATTTAGCCACCGAAACCGTAGAGGGTACGGCCCTGGCGCTTGAGGGCGTAGACGACGTCCAACGAGGTGACGGTCTTACGCTTGGCGTGTTCAGTGTAGGTGACGGCGTCACGGATGACGGACTCGAGGAAGGACTTGAGCACACCGCGGGTCTCTTCGTAGATCATGGCGGAAATACGCTTGACACCACCACGACGCGCAAGACGACGGATAGCGGGCTTGGTGATACCCTGGATGTTGTCACGCAAGATCTTGCGGTGACGCTTGGCGCCACCCTTGCCGAGACCCTTGCCACCTTTTCCACCTGTTGACAGAGTTCAAGTTAGCATATTGTCTTTGTTGGGCTAGGTAGGTTGGTGAGGGTGATGGTAGAGGACGGTATCCTGAGGCAGGATCGTGACATCACGTGGCCGCCAGGGGTGCAGGAACAACGATAACCTCACGGGCGATCACATCGAATGAAACCTGGGATAAAAGCGGGAACGCGGATTTACTTACGTCCAGTCATATTGTCAAGAGGTTAAAATATTAGATTCGGATTGAAAATCGATGGAAAACGATGAAGATCGTGGATGGTAGATGAAAGACGCGACGCGTTGCGGGTCGGGATGCTGAAAGGAGGAGTTGCAAGAAGGAAGAAAGGAAAAAGGGAACGTCAAAAGGGGCGGTGGTGGGAGAGGGGCGATTGCTTAAATACGTTTGCCGGGGCGGGCGGCAAGCGAGAGTGATTTGGGCCTTTCTTTTCCCTTCGAGTGACTAAGCCTGGGGAGGTGATCTAGAAGGGTCAAAAGCAATGCGGCGTGTTGATTGGCGGGTGCCGGCTGGGAAAAAGCGCGTTATGAACGACCGCTTTCCGCGCGCTGATTCTGGCCCGTCCGCTCGGGCAGGCAGCGCTCGGCGAGCTGCGCTGCGGGATCGCGGCCGGGTAGGGTCACGTGGAGCTTGGCATGTTTTGCCGCTTTGCACCCTTCACTTCGACGGTATAGTTCAGTCATGTCATCCATCCATCCATGGTATTTTGTCTTCCATGAAACAGCTCTCCGGCAATGATTAAAATTTTGTGAGATATCAGAAGTCGCTGCTAAGAACTCGGCTCGAAGTGAAGCGCCTACTTGACTCATGACAAATTGCGACCGTTCCTGTCTCAACATGCTTATAGTTATACAGGTACATAGAACCTAGACTTGCTGTACGGTGTTTACATCCCAAGAGATCATTTAAACCCCAGTAAAGTCAGTACTTATGAAATTACAAATCATACATTAGACAAACTCAACAGTATACGATCTTCAAGTATCCTATCCCATTGTAGGCTACCCTCTGTCCACATATATGTATTCGCTTCCTCGCCCGTACATAGCAGACCAAAACTCCGCGGAGTGGAATCATCATACAGAAAAGCCCCGTTTGTGCAAACCACAGACCATCAATTATGGCATGCTAGAAAAACAACGTCGACTAAAAACAAAGCACTCGACCCTCCATACAGAACCTCGCCACTGATTGAGTAGATTGCAAGAAAAAGCCATGTAGATGCAGTAAAGGAAAAAAAGGAAAAGAAAAGTGAAAAAAAAAAAAAAAGTAAACACTTTTCATGTTCACAAATGGCCCGTTTCAGAGCATTTGCATGATCGCTGGACACTGACAACCAGCTAAACTTGGAAATGGAAAATGCGTAACTTCGTAATCGTTAAAGGCACTGCGGGTCGACAAAACAGCAACCCGACACAGCGCGATTCCCTTCTGTCGAATGACTTGGATATAACGTGCCGTAGACACCCATGAGATGACCGCCCCGCGGTTTATTACACTTCGCAAAGGCGTACACAAACTCATGTATCCCTGATAAGAAGGACATGGAATGGAGGGAAAATGGAAATGAAAATAGAGAAAGAAAAGGCGAAAAGAAAAGAAAACGAGGAGATTACAACGGAGAGAAGAGGAACAGAAGGTATAGAAAATAAGTAGGACATGAAACTTTTACAAGGTCGAGTTTCACAACAAAACGCTAAAAGCGCGAAAGATGTTGCAAGCCAGATCGTGGTGTTAAATTCGTATCAAACGGGATAAGAGTGTCAAAGCGCATCTCTTATCCCCGAATGGCTGTGGGTGTATGCGTTTCCTTAAAGAAACGGCTCTGGATCGGTTGATGATGGCTATAGCCAAAAGGATTTGGAGAAGCGGAGGAACTCCGACCGCTACTCTTCGTCACATCCATAACAGGCGACGGAAGTGGAGATGATTTCGGTGATGGTGAATTCGAGGAATGAATCGGATCCCTGCGGGCTCCGGGCTCGTCGTTCTCGGACTCCGAAGGTCCAGAGTCGTTGGAGTTTGAAGACCCAAAGAAACAATATCTATCGACAAGTTCCTTATAGGTTGACGACTCACGATGCGGTTTGCTGGACGCTAGGGTAGAAGGTTTAGATTCTTCTCTATGCCCTGATTGGGGGTTCTTCTCGCCAATTGACATGTCTTTCTGACTATCAGACCCTCTCCCTTTAGGCTGAAATTGTTTTTCGCCGTTAGTCGCGGGTCGCTCGGACTTCGCTCGAGCAGTCAAGGTTGTCCGGTCGAGCTCCGGCTTGGTCCGCATAACCGCAGACAAGGATGCCTCGAAGTCATAGCGAGTACCAAACATTTGGTGGGACTGTTTTTCCCGGCGGACAGGGGGCGGGGTCTCAAGATCACGGGAGGCATCCTCGCACAGTGACACGCTCTTAGATTCTTTCGAGGGTCGACCGAAGGATAGACTGTCGTTCAGCCTTGAGAAATCGTCAAAGGCTGAAGGCACCGAGTGAGGGCGAGTGCTGGAATGAGCGAAGGTCCTGCTCCGCGGAAGAGTCGGACGCGATGCCATTGAGGGTGCCGACTGGGGGCTGTTGGATGATGGCTTCGCTTTGGGGACTCTTAGGAAATTCACCTGGAAATTCCTAGAATGATTATTATCCCAATACTCGCAGCCCTTGACACTGTAGCGAATGCAGATGAACATGGTCTTCCTTTCTAAATTCGCCTGGTCATTCAACTTGATGCTGAAGGTGAACCGATCGAACCCGTCGTACTTTTGATTGCGGTTCAAACCCTGATCGTACTCTGCATGAACCTCAGATACAGTGTTCCACTGGTCAAACGTGAAGCGAGAGGCGACATGCTTCTCGAATGCCAGGTTTGCCGCCGCAATAACGCCAACCAGGGTGTTCTTGTCAGACGACAGAGACAGTCGCTCAAGGCGGACTCGTTGCTGGGATCGGGACGCAGTGTCTTTAGGGAAGTTGGTAAGATGCAATCCCCATTCCAGCGACGACCCATCCGAAGAGCCTTCCTTTTTGAACGGGAATTCCCCTTGCGATTCGAAGTTCTCGACAGGCGAGGTTCCAGTGCTGACCGCCTGTGGCTTGTCCAATTGCAAGAAATGACGGATATGTTCAAGCTGAGAGTCGAAATGGACCGCCTTGGAGTAGGTTGGGGTTCCCGGCATGCTTGACGGGCGCCTCCGAGCCGAAGCGGGACGTAGAGCGGGTCTCACAAGCTCCCCCGACTTTTTACGGACCATGGGATGCTTGGGTTGTGGTTCATCATCTCGATCGCTTTCTTCGGGCGAGCTTGTTAACGCGGAGTCATCCGGGCGATGCACAATGGCATTCTCTGTGAAGGACCGCGAGTGGGAGATCTTGCGAGCCTCCCTGGACAGAGGCGGACGCTTGGGGGCCTTGGCCACATTGGCTGCAGGAGTGATACTAGAGGAGGGCATCTCGCTCGCGGATTGACGTTCGGGGGAGGAAACCCTTCTTTGCTCGATGGACCTCACTGCGGCCTCTAGCTCCTCCAAGCGGGGAGCATCTCGATGCTTGTACGGGGCCTCTTCGTCGCTGGAATTAGGAGCCGACTCCGGTGGAGAGATGATGGCTCCAGGGGGCATGAGAGCCTCACTTACGGGAGGCGGGGATTGTCGAACACTGCCATGGGGGTCAAGTGCATGATGGACTTTGAAGGGTTTGTCAGCGGAGCTCTTGCTGTTTGACGAGCTTCTCCGGTGCTTCCGGAGATAAGCTGTCGAGTGATAGAAGCGAGAAAGGTGGGTGCGTCCTTCTTGAGGGCTATCCAGCGTGGGCGAGGTGGGGCAGGATTGAGAGACCGGGTCGGAATATTCAATGTGTTGCGCGGAAAGCGTCGTCTTCAGCGGCGCAGTGTATGGCATCCGGCCGGCTTGTGTGCTCTGACAGCAGAATAGTGGGTAAAGAAGCGGACCAAGCCAGATGATCCTTGTGTTTGTTTCTAGAAGTCCGAGAGGGCGTTCAGATGGTCAGCAGTTGATTGAAGCTGCCCCTGTGTAGAAAGACTAGAAACCTGAAATCAGCAAGAGCGCGATGCGGAGACGGCGTTTGTCTGGTTGCAGATGTGGGGAATGACGTTTTGCGAGTCAGTCGGGCAAGGTGGAGCACAAAGAGCCGAATATCACAAGCCCGTATTAATGGGGTCAACACAACGGATGAAACAGGTAGATGATAGAGTGAAAGATGCCTTTAAATTGGAGTGGGAGGCGAATGTAGTTAAGCACGGAGCAGGCCGGAAATCGGAAGAGGGAGGCAAAGGATAAGAGTGAATCACAACAGAAGCTCCGACCAGTAGCACAAAAGGGGCCTGTGAGATGGGGTGATTCGAGAAAGCCACCGACAGGGACCTTTGGAGATTGACGAGGAATGACGCTGGAGGGGAATGCAGGAATAAAAAAGAAAAAGGAAACGACAGGATGGTGGGATAGAATCCCCGATGGGAAGGACGTACCTTGTTGGTTCGACATCTAGTGAGAACAAAAGAGAAAAGAAAAAAAAGTGTTAACGGGGAGTGGCAAACGGGAATCCGTGCACTTCTTAGATTTTAAAATTCACCAGTTGACAATGAGGTGAAAGGGGAGGTAAGTAAGATCCACGAAGGGGACTGGGGAAGAAGAGAAGAAAATGCGAGAAGATGGTGGAGGGGGTAGAGAATTATATGATCTGACCAAGGAGGACGGGCGAGCCGCAGCATGCAATAAACAAGATAAGTATCGAGTACAGGATCCCGCGCTAGTCGGTAGAAGGTACAACCCGGGCAGTCTTGCAACAAGAAATAGTTACAGGTACGGTAAAGGTAAAGATAATCGATACCATTGATAAGACCCTAACTAACGGTGGTGTAGACAGCATGGAACTCAACGTGAACTGCTTTGGCACGAGAGGGGCGGAGAAAAAAAAAAAGTTAATGCTGGTAGGGAGGAGTCGGTGGTCTGTAGTTCCGCGGATTCTCCTAAATTTGGAGGGAATTGAATATTCTTTTTTTATTCTATTAATATTATTTATCTTGGAAGTAGCTTTAAGCTGTCGATACATTTGATTCGGAAGATAAATTAGGATTTTTTTTTTTTTTTTTTTTTTCCTTTCTGAACATTTTGATACATTTTGAGTCAACAGAAGATTTTTTAATAAAAAAAAATAATATATTCCTTCCCCCCCTAAGTAAGCCACGGTGGGATCAATGATCTTTCGCCATGGCCATAGAACATGGCGAGAAGGTCGCCAGCTGCGCGCCATCCAGAATTTTGCCGCCGTACCCGGAAAACGATGATGGAAGTGGAGATCGTACTAGCGGTAAATACGAGACATGGTTAGGTGCTCTTTGCTAACCAACTTAAAATAGGCGATCGAACGGTCTGGGACGGTGGGACGATCCCCCAACAGTCCAGTCAGTGCGTTCCGTCCGGGTGGAGAAGAGTCTGCTCTGCATCTGCTCTATTCAGTACTCCGAGTACACTGTGCACACTGCACTATGTACCCTCTACTCCGACGGATGCCTGCTGTACGGTGTTATACCCTGAGGTTCCATGGCCATTGCTTCGTTTTTCGCCTCTCGGCCGTTGCTTCCGCCATCCGATGATGAATCATCTGGGGATCATGTAGTCATGTATGTAGGTACCTTTTTACTGATATGGACTGACTTCCTCGTTGGATCTACGGTCGCGCATTGGACAGAAAACGAATCTACAGACCGAGTACACTGGGTAAGTACATCGCAAAAGTATCATGTACACACTGCCAAACGATGTACATGTGGCTCGGTGGAGAACAGGTGATCTTCCATG